CATGCAGACCGGCCGCTCACTGGCTGAGCGAGGTGCGGGCGCAACACCAAGCGTTGCGATCCCGTTGCCGGTCACGAAAAAAGACAAAAAGGAAAAAAAAATGTTAGTAGAGAAGAAATAAGGGAAGACATATTCATAAAGGCTTGTATATTGATTTATGATTTACCATTTCTGATGCTCTTTATTTCTTCCTGTGGATGTGAGTCACCCTCTTCTGTCATGTCCTTTCTGCTTGAAATACTTCTTTTGCTGTTTTTTTGTGAGTGTATCTGCTAACAACCAATTCTCAGCCTGTTTACATCTGTAGAAGGCTAGTTCAGCTGTACCTCTTATTTCAGATGAGAATTTAGACACTAATTATATGGCTGCCCCTCTCAGCTCGACAGTTTTGTTTTTCTGCTTTCTAGATTTTCTGTTTGTCTTGGGCTCTTTGTATTTATTCTCCTTGGTTGTTCAGCTTCTTTTATGGATAGTTTTATGTTCTTCATAATTTCTGTCTTCTATTGAGATTCTGTATTGGTTGCTTCATTATGCTTAAATGAAACATGATTTCCTTTAGTTCTTTAAGCAGATTTACAGTAGCTTTGAACATATTTATAACAGTAGCCATTTCAAAGTCTTTGTATGCTACCTCCAACATCTGAGAACAGAGACAGGTTCAATTGACTGCTTTTTTCCCCTGAGTGTGTATTACCCTGTCTTATTTTTTGCTTGACTTTTTGCTTTTTTTGGTTTAATTGAAGCCTATTTTAGTGACTGGGTTCTGACTTCCACCCCTGGGTGGTGGTGGTGTTTTGTTTGTTTCTCTGTAGTAACTTCGCTGGGCTAAATTTGTGAAGTTTGATCCCCACATAGTGTATATTGCCTCTGGTTTCTCTGCTCAGTTTATTTACATTTTGGTTTTGTTTTATTCTTGGTTTTTAAGTTTTAGTCCTGGCTTTAGTGGTGGTTTCTTCCAGTGATAGCACAGGGACGGTGCTCAAACACTTTGAGCCAGCATGGCTTCTGTCTTCTGCCGATGGATCAGAGTGTATGGCGGATCTTGTTCCAAGTTCAGGCTATTTTCTCAGCCACCTGGCATGTGTGTTCTTGAGGGCCCTTACTGTCTCCACTGCACATATGTGCATCCTCTGCCTCTGCCAATAACCAGCATTCCCCTTCTGTGGCCGAGCACCTCACCTCTGCCTGGTGCCACTGGGTGAGCCCCCCTTGGCCATGCTGTGGGTCCGCCCTGGCATGTCCTTCCTTTGGATGGAACTGGGGCTGGGACAGATGCAAGGGGCCTGAAGTAAAAATGCTACAAACTCCCACTCTCCTTATCTGAAGTGCAGCAGTTTTGCAAAGTTCAGTACTTCTCAGACTGTAGTATCCATTTAGTCAATTCCCAGGGCTCTGAAATAGCCACTTTTGCCAGTTTTGTCCAGCTTTAAAGTTGTTTTTAGGGAGAGAATTCGCTGACTTCCTCCCTCAGATTTAGCCAGAAAAGTTCCACTCCTGTTTAATTCCAGACATGTTATCATTTATTAGGATAAGTCTGTACCAGTTATGATTCTTTGCCCAAAATGTTGGCATTACCACCTATTTATTCCAAGTGGTCTTTGAAATCATTTTTCATGATCCAAGGGAAATCCCACTGGAGTTTGATTGGAATTATTTAACAGATTGTTTACAGATAATTTTTTAAAGCTTTGTAGTAATTCTATTATAGTTAAGGAAAATAAGTCACCGTGGTATTGTATGATTTATACAGGGATACAAGAGTGTTTTAATATGGGGGAATGTATTCACATTTACTTTATCAGTATCTCTTGCAAAATCCCAGTATCATTTGCTCAGCAAATGCTGAAAATCCCTTTAATGAGACACAACATTTATACTTAATTTACAAGTTTATAGAAAAGTCTTAGTGAAATAAGATGCCTATTATCACCAGCATTACTAGGCATATTTTAGACATTAGAGCCACATCAGTAAAGTTGGAGGTAAATTTTAAGCAAATTATTGAAAGTAAAGTAAATTATTGGAAGTTGGTTGTGAACTCCTTAATACCTAGAAAATCAAAGTGAATTGGCTGAAAAATTGCTTGAGTAGGTTGGGCAAAGAATGAATGTGTAAAGTCCATTATATAATGGGAGTTTGTTTCTAATAGCAAACGTACAAGGTACTCTTAAAAAAAAAAGCATCTGGAATCTGTGCTAGGAAAACTAAAAATAATGTACTGAGCAATGAAAAGAAGAGGCAATTAAGAAGCAAATATTTCGGGATAGGAAGAGAGAGCGAGATGTGTAAGAGCATCACTTCTTCCAGAATGACCTCCTCCTGCGGGAGGGAGTCCTGTGCGACATGTCTGGGGATGAACCAAGGTAACGCGGCTCCTGTCTCGGTAGGAGGAGGAGGAGGAGCAGCCGCAGCCAGCACAGCCTCCTACCCTGCCCGTGGAGGAGAAGAAGAAGATTCCAGATCCAGACAGCGATGACGTCTCAGAGGTGGATGCGCGGCACATCATTGAGTAAGAGGTCCCCATGCGCTCTGTACCACCACCACCAGCTTCCCGTAAGGTGGCACTGGCGGGAGATCTCAGCCTGTCCCTAGATGGCATCACCACTGTACAGCCAGCAGTCACTGTGGGACCGGAAACAGACCAGATCTGTCTACTTCAAATTTCTTTAATTTTTTTGGCGGTTGGCCGGTATGGGGATCTGAACCCTTGACCTTGGTGTTATGACACTGCACTCTAACCAACTGAGCTAACTGGCCAGCCCTTGTTTATTTTTATAGGGACCTATTGTAGGAAGTACATTCACATGGTTCCTCATGTTTAAGAGCATCGGTTAGGTGAACACCCAAAAGCCTTTTTTCTCTTCTACCCTTGTTCCCCAGCTCCCCAACACTCCCAGGAGGAAATGCTTTCCAGCACCCAGGTGTCATCTTCCAGAGAGATTCTCTGTGTTAACAAGCAAAACTCATGCAGGTTTTTCTTCTCATTTGCACAGTTGTGTCCAGGGCATACTGCTGTGCACCTTGTTTTTTTTGCCGAGCTTTCTCTGTCGGTGTCCATCCTGTGTCCAAGCACAGAGAGCATCCTCACTGTTCTTCCCAGCTGGCAGTGTAGCCTCTCATGTTACACTGTCATTTACGCAGTCTGTCCTCTGGTGGTGGGCGTTTAGGTCATTTCTCATCTATTGCCCTTATAAACACAATTACATTTAATACACTAATTTCATCGTTGCTATGGTAAGGAGTTAATAGATATTGTTAAAAAGAAATAGAGGATTGAGGGTATTATATATGCTATAGATATGAAAACAACCACTAGAATAAAAATAGAATACTTTGAAATCAACAGGAGAAACAATACAGGCAAAAGAAAACCCACTAAACTAAGAAAACACAGCTTACTGCGAATGATTTGTAAGAACATAAAAACAGAAAGCATGGCCTAAAATAAAATAATAGAAGTTAAATCATACATATCTGGCATATTAATAAATGTAGGTGATCTGAGAGCACTTTTTAAAAGAAAAATAATTCGGATCAGATCACGCAATCGCTCAGGTCAAAAAGCTTCTGGTTTTGTGCACAGATGTTCAGTGTGCGGGTATTTTCCATTTAGGCTCACGAACTCTCAGTAGAAATGGTGAGCCTCTTTCTGTGATGTGACAAGTGACAGCATTTCTCTTCTCTGAAGTTGGGCTGGGGACCCACAGAAGCATGTCTCAGCTCCCCAGAATTTGTATTGGCTGCCTTGCCTGACCGCAGATTGTCCAGCTGCACATCTTCTTGTCTTACTGCTCAGGCCACAGGTCATTGGGCAGAAAGGGCCATGCCACAGAGCTTGTGTCAGGAGCACCTCGTCACAAGTAGGAATGTGGGTCCTCACACAGTGCTTCCGTCTCACTCCCAGGAACGCCAAGCAAGATGTCGATGATGAGTATGGTGTGTCCCAGGCCCTGGCTCGTGGCCTGCAGTCCTACTACGCCGTGGCCCACGCAGTCACTGAGAGAGTGGACAAGCAGTCGGCGCTCATGGTCAATGGTGTCCTCAAACAGTACCAGGTGAGGCAGGGAGGGTATATCTGTGTAGCAGCCTCGATAGAGGCGTTCCTGTTTGTGGGTGGCTGCTGAACTCAGGCAGACCCTAGTGCACATTCTACTCTTTGTCTTTCAGCAACTCGTTCTTCCCTCTGAGACTCAGTTTCCCTATCTATAAAGCAGAAGTGTGGTCTGTTAGCTGCTTACAGGAAGCAAAACTGCAGTAAGTCAGTGTCTCTTGAGTGCTTGATAGTTTCCAGGCAGAATAGGGGTGCTTCATATGCTATTAGCAGCTGAATCCTCAAGCAGCCCTGCACAGCAGGCGCTATTCTCTGTACTGAGGAACAGAGAGGTGCAGCAGTCCCTCACAGTCACACAGCTTGGGAATGGCCAAGCCAGGGCTAGAACCTGGGTCTGGGTGTGCGTGTGCTCAGTATATGTGCCCTGGAACTCTGTAGTGTGGGACCATGAGGTATTTGGAGCTTGAAGTTGGGAGCAGGGGCCCTGGACTTGGCCCTCTTTGGGAACGAGGTAGCAGCCCCTCCTGCAGGTCCTCTGTGAAGCTCCTCAGGGCCTGGCCTGGAACAGTCCAGAAACAGAGCTTCTTGTTGGGGAAATTCCTTTTCTGTGTCCCCACATCTCAGCTCATCTGTAAGGTCCTAGAAGGCAATAAATATAACACCAGCCATAGAACACGTCTCCCTGGTTTTCCAGTTGGTTGTGACCCCGTTCCCCAGTTTTCCTTGAGAGAACACTCTAACCTTCCATGCCAATATCAGCTTCCAAAGAGGCAAAACCAGTGACCAGTGGAAATTTCTAGAGGCCAGTATAATCAAAAGAATTAGGACTTGGCCAGAACTTCCCTCCTTAGTCTGTAAAGAAAGTTTCTGAATTTTCGTCCATAACATTACGTTCACTTTGAAAACAGTCTTCTTTGTAATGCCTGTATTATTTCACAAAGCTCCCGAGCTTTGGAAAGCCCTCAGTCGCTCTTAAAGTGTTGGTCATATGGTGGATTCATCACCGAGTTCCCCTGAAGCCCTACTGGTTTCCTGAATTGCTGTGTCACGTGGTGTGGGCAGGTCTCTTAGGTGTGCTGTGTGGGTTGGTGTTAGGCAGTGGCACATGGACATTGTAATGCTTAGAAATGAACTGTTCAAATGTGCACCAGAAAAAAGCATTTCTCATACATACCACCCTGTGATTTCACAGAGATTATTGCTCAGAATGAGGCTAAGTAAAAGAAGGCTCGGGTTGGTTCGCAGCAAAATACCAGGTACAGGTGACCACAGGTGGGACATGGCTTGGGCAGAACTTATGCCTGTTGATGCTCACATCTCTGAAGCATGGGGGACACTCTCGGTTGTGCCCGGGCTTCAGTTCTGGCATGGCTGTTTTGGACCTTGCAGATCAAGGGCTTGGAGTGGCTGGTGTCACTGTACAACAACAACCTGAACGGCATCCTGGCGGACGAGATGGGCTTGGGGAAGACCATCCAGACCATCGCGCTCATCACGTACCTCATGGAGCACAAGCGCATCAACGGGCCCTTCCTCATCATCGTACCCCTCTCGTAAGTGCGCCCGCCATGGGGGCTCCAGCAGCAGCCCAGACTGCACTCCGTCGCTTCTGTTAGGTTCCTAGATTTGCTGTGGTAGTCTACCATATGCAGACTGGGTGGCTTAAGTGACAGGTCTTTCTTTTCCCAGAGGCCAGAAGTCCGAGCTCAGGTGTGGGCAGGGTTACTTCCTTCTCTAGCCTCTGTCCTTGGCTCATAGATGGCCGTCTTCTCTGTGTCTTCACAGCCTTCTCTTTTCATGTGTCAGTGTCTGAATTTCCTCTTCTTATAAGGACACTCGTGTTGGATTCGAGCCCACCCTGATGATCTCATTGTAGCGTCAGCACCTCTTTAAACGTACTGGAGATTAGGGGTGGCACGATTCATCTTATAACAGCCTGTACTAGATTTGCTGTGGTAGTCTACCATACGCAGACTGGGTGGCTTAAGTGACAGGTCTTTCTTTTCCCAGAGGCCAGAAGTCCGAGCTCAGGTGTGGGCAGGGTTACTTCCTCCTCTAGCCTCTGTCCTTGGCTCATAGATGGCCGTCTTCTCTGTGTCTTCACAGCCTTCTCTTTTCATGTGTCAGTGTCTGAATTTCCTCTTCTTATAAGGACACTCGTGTTGGATTCGAGCCCACCCTGATGATCTCATTGTAGCGTCAGCACCTCTTTAAACGTACTGGAGATTAGGGGTGGCACGATTCATCTTATAACAGCCTGTGTCTCGTTTCCCGGGGTGGGTGATGGGTGCCCTTCATTGTGCTTTGGGAGCAGCATGTCCTTGGTGNCTCTAGCCTCTGTCCTTGGCTCATAGATGGCCGTCTTCTCTGTGTCTTCACAGCCTTCTCTTTTCATGTGTCAGTGTCTGAATTTCCTCTTCTTATAAGGACACTCGTGTTGGATTCGAGCCCACCCTGATGATCTCATTGTAGCGTCAGCACCTCTTTAAACGTACTGGAGATTAGGGGTGGCACGATTCATCTTATAACAGCCTGTGTCTCGTTTCCCGGGGTGGGTGATGGGTGCCCTTCATTGTGCTTTGGGAGCAGCATGTCCTTGGTGTTCTCTTCAAGGCCCGTAGCCATCAAAGTCTACACGAGGTGCAGGAGGCAAGAGCCTCCTGCTGGAAGAACAGCAGGGTAAGGCCATGTGAGGCTCCTTTGACCAAACTCTTTCCAACCCCTTGTCACTCAGTGCCCTGCTATGACCACCAGGGCCCTTAGTCACGTCCCAGCCTCACTCGTGCAGCACAGACGTGCAAGTGTGGTGGGAGCTGGTACCCACAGCTTCCCGAGGGCTTTCTCACTCACCCTCTGTCGGCTCTGTGGCCTCTTCTTCCCGGCAGGCCAGGGTTCCGCCAGCCACTGTGGGCCTCTTTCCCAGCTCAGTACCTGCCACAAAAAGGTTCGGATGCTCAGGGTTTTTCCAGAAGCCCCATGGCTGAGTCTCAGTGGCCCAGCTCAGGTCACATATCCGGCACCAAACCAATCACTGGCCTGGGAGGTGGGTTGTTCCGATTGCGCGTGCCTCGTCCTAGCCCTGAAGCACGACCCCTGATCCCAGACAGTCACTCGGCTGGGACCACATCATCCCTGAATCAATATTGAGGTGGGGAGACTGGCAAGCTGAGGGCCTGTGCCCCAACCCCACAGGAAAGCACCCTCTTACCTGCAAGATAGCCGGACCCCCAGAGTCCACACACCCGCAGGATGGGGGCCAGCATCCTGACCTGTCCTGGAGGATCAGAGGAGGGGGTGTGGACCCCAGACCTCTGCTAGAATTTACTCTGAAGAGGTTCCTTTCCCCTCCGCATGTGGGGAGGGTCAGGTAGGCTGCCTCGGAGGCACAGGTCTTCCTCAGGGGAGCGCTGTTTCCATGGCTCGCAGACCCTTGCCTCTGCCCTTGCCGTGGAAGCCACCCTCCTGTCCCCTCCATATGGCACCTGCCTTAGCTCTTTCCAGGGCCCCCAGGATTTGAAGTCCCTTCTGCATGTGGAGGCTGTTCCCTGGACTCCCCCAGCCTCTCCCTCCCCAGCCCCGCCTCTGCGCTTCTTCACCCACAGGTGGATTCTCTATGTTCTCTCCTTCACTTTGAATATCCCACACCACCAAGGTGACTTCCATCTCTACCAGAACTGCCCTCTCCAAGGCGCTGTTCTGCAGCCTTGTTTATTTCTTTCTTTATATAATATTTAGACTTTTCATTCCAAAATGATGTCAGACGTATGAAAAATCGTAAAAATGGTATAAAAAGTTGCAATATATTGGGTTTCCCCATCGTAAACCTACAAATTTTCCTTTGCAGTTTGTAAGTGCAGTTTGTAAGTGTCCCGTTACTCCTGCTTTCCCCAGTAATTTCAGCATCCATTGGATGAGTTGCCTAAAACGATTATCACGTGGGAGTTGCCAAATACATGGATATGTGTTTCCACCATTCCTTTTCTATGCTTTCATTGCAACTCTCCTGTTAGGAATAGCTGTCCCTTCTCATTTATGTGTTTGTGTGATTGTATCAGTATGGGCTCACGGACATGGCCATCATTTATTCTGTTGCTTCAGTTGTCCCAGATTTGTCCTAGGGGAGCCCTTCAAGCCACTCCTTTCAGCATGGTCTCATCATTTTGTGGTGGTGGCTGTTTACATCAGTATAGTCGAAGAATTCTGTTGCTTCAGTTGTCCCAGATTTGCCCTAGGGGAGCCCTTCAAGCCAGTCCTTTCAGCATGGTCTCATCATTTTGTGGTGGTGGCTGTTTACATCAGTATAGTCGAAGAATTACAGAAGAGTTGCAGAGGTGGGATAGAGGGCCCACATAGCTGTCACCAGTTTTCCCGTTGTTTGTAACATCTTATAGTGCCACGGTACCTTTGTCACAACTGGGGGCCCAGCATTAGCACGTTGCTATTAACCAAACTTCAGACTTCTTTCACATTTCACTAGTTTTTCCCTCTTGTCCATTTTCTATACCAGGATCCCACGTTACATTTAGCTGTCACATCTCCTTGATCATCTCTGGTCTGTGACAATTTCTCAGACTTTCCATAGTTTTGATGACATTGACCATTTTGAGGAGGACTGGTCAGGTCTTTTGTAGGATTTCTCTCAGCCTGGCTCTGTCTAATGGTTTCCTCATGGTTCAACTGTGGTCATGGGTATGGGCAGGGAGACTCTGGGGGTGAGATGTTCTTCTGATTGAATCATGTCAAGGGTGCACACTGTCACGTGTTGATCTTGACCACCTGGCCGAGGTTGTATTTGTCAGGGTCTCTGCTGAGAAGTTACTCTTTTTTTTCCCCGTTTATAATGACCTCTTTAGAAAAAAGTCACTAAGCTCAGCGCGTCCACAGGGGCGGGGAGTTGAGCTCCACCTCCCTGAGAGGCAGTAGCTGTGTCAGTCACATGGAGCTCTCCCCAGGGGAGTCTCTTCTCCCCTGTTTAGTAATGTGTTCACTCATTTCTTTGTATCAGTGAGGACTCATGGACATTTATTTTACACTTTGGACTTTATGCCACTACTGATTCACTTATTGCTAAGGTGATTTCATCTTTGGCCACTGGGAGCTCTTTCGGTTGGCTCCTCTGTTCTTTTGACGTGCCCCCATCATTGTGAGGGTTTTGAGCACTTTTTTGTGCTTTGGGCACCAAGAGATGTTCCAGGCTCATCTTATTTCCTGCCCTGGCTCTGGCATCTCCCTGGTTTCCATTATCAGAGAGTGGTATTAGCAACCATGATCTGGGTACTGGGAGTGCTCACTGCTTCTGGGGGGTCATCACCCCCAGGACCTCTTAGCGGACAGGGCTGGGAAATAAATATGTTTGTGTACTGACCTAAAATGACTTCTCTCTAGTCATTCGTATCTGTGTTGAGCTAAATATGCATTCATTCTGTTCTCTCCAACTCTCAGCCCTGCCACAGGTTCATTCTAGGGCTTCCACCTTGCTCTTTGTTCATTCCCAGCGTACACAGGCAACAGGGTCACAACAGCCCCAGGAGAAACAACTTCCCCCAGCAGTGCACAGAACCCACGTCCAGTTCCTTCTGTCTGTGGACTTACAGATTCCAGTTAAAACACCATTTCCGAGGTGGCTTGGTCAGCTCCTTGACCCTCTGCCTTCAGTGAGGCGTGCCATGCGTTGACCTGCAGACCTTTTACACCGTCCTGCTCTAGGGCAGGCGGCCCCTCCGTGCAAGCTCCAGACCAGGCAGAAGAACCTGTGCCCTAGGGAGCATTATCAGTCCACCTGTGTGACTTGCTGCTCTCCACCATGAGCTACTTGTCCTGCTTCCTTCTTGACCTCTGTCTCCTGGCCTGTCTCCCCGTCCCCCTTATGACTCTACCTCCTGCCATTCATCCTCCTCCTGCAGGTGCTGCCCACGCCTTGAGCATCTGTCTTGGAGCTCAGACTTTCCCCTGTCACTCCCTGCAATAGAAACCAGACCTCAGCGGCCCAACCAGGGAGGTCTTGCTGATCCTGAGTAAGGAAGAGCCTAGAGCCAGGCCATCGGGGTCACACCTTGAGGTGCCAGGATGCCACTGGGGACTCAGGCTCCTGCAGTTTTCTGCTCTACCTGTCCTCAAGTTCCTTACCTCATGGTTGCAAGATGGCTGTGTCCTCCTCCTTACCCATGTTCTGTCCCTCTTCACATCCTGTCACTGCCCATCTCCCCCCCACCCCTCATCCAGGCTTGGTCATCCCACGGAAGAGCAGCTGTGAGTCCTTTCTCCCACCCTGTCCCCACTCCTCCTGCCCTTCACCCAAGCCTGGCTGGTGTCACCAGCTTGCTGCTTCATTCTGTGTCTCACTAGTTGGTGGCTGCCATTTTCGTTTTGAGGTGGCAGAGAGAACCTATGGTGTCTCCCGTGTTCCTGGCCTCCACGCATGCTTGCTAGCATGGATCTGGACCATGTGAGTCTATTTTTGCTGGCAGCAGGTCCACAGCATTTGGTGTGTCCTCAGTGGGGCCCATGACCCCACAGTAGTGACAAAGGACTGGTCCAGCTGCCCAGCTCCATCCAGGCTCCTCTGCCCCAGCAGCAGCTGTCCCTGTACCCACCGCTGCCTTTGTGTGTCCACCTGCAATGCGTTTCCCTCCATCTGCCCAGCCACCTCCGTCAGACCCTCTGAGGGCGCTCTCCCAGTCCTCACTGGCCCTCCTTCCCTCGCTCCACTGCCATTGGGCCCAGCCACTTCCTCTGCCAGATCTGAGGGCCATGGCCACGTCCGCCTCACTTCCCTGATAACTGGTGGCCATTGGTCTCAACTGTGAGCTGTCATGAGTGAACGGGAATCTGACTGTCCCTTTCTTATCCCACCAGAACCCTGTCAAACTGGGCGTACGAATTTGACAAGTAGGCCCCCTCTGTGGTGAAGGTGTCCTACAAGGTATGTCACGGCCTGCAGAGGTCACCTCGACTCTGAGGGGACATAGGCAGGGCAGGGTTGGATGAGGAGGTACGAGTGAGTGAAGGGAGGGCCGCTGGCGCCGGTGCCTTTCCGTGTGAGGTCTCATTTTATGCACACAGGACCATGGTGCTGATGCAGGTTTGGGGCCATCTATTTTGTGAGGAAATATTTATTTTAAAAATTAAGTTATGGACTCAGTTTGTAGTATATGGTGGCATTAATGCATTTACTGGAATATTTTGTTACTCTCACCCAAGCTTTGGTTAAAAACCCACTCATGGATGAGGATTTAATAAGTGTATGCCGTGGGCCACTGTGAGGCAGGGACACTGGCGTCGTGGGCCCTGAGGCGGGCCTGCTCTGGGTGCTACATGGAGATCTGTGCGTGTTCTCCTCAAAACTGCCCCCTGTGAAGTGTGGCCTATCATTGGTCCTGTTTCCTAGTGAGGAAACTGAGGTAGAGAGAATTCCACGTAGCCAGTGACTGAAAGATCCTGTTTGTGTCCCTGGCCGTCAGACTCCTGGGTCCAGGCTCTTCAGCCTGCGCCATGAGGCTCTTAGCCCTGTGTCAGGGACAAGGGGCCCAGGCAGAGGGGACAGTATGGGGAGGGGCCTACACTAGAGGGAAAACGTGGTGGGGCTGAGGGGCCGTAAGTGTGTCTGCTGGTGAGAGCTCACGAGCCCCGACAGGCACGCCACTGCAGAACAAGCTGCCTGAGCTCTGGGCGCTGCTCAACTTCCTGCTGCCCACCATCTTCAAAAGCTGCAGCACCTTCGAGCAGTGGTTCAATGCACCCTTTGCCATGACCGGAGAGAAGGTGGGTATGCCTGGCCGCAGAGGAACGGTGCTGGCCTGATGTTCTGGGCCCCGCTGACGTCCCATGGTTGGTGAGCACCTCCCCTGCTATGGACCATGGGACAGGATTCTGCGTTTGGAGTGCTGGAGGGCTGGGCACGTGGTCTGTCAGCCTCGGGCCACTGGGTGGTCCTGGGAGCCTTTTTGGTGACATAACTGTGAAGGTGGCCATCAGTGGTTACTGAGAACATCCCATGACCCAGATCTAAATCAGCCAAAGCCCCTTGTCCACAGAATACCCGGGTTCCTGGTGTGGTGGTGGGGGTGGGCAGGGAGGGGTCGAGGCTAAAGATGGTGTGTCTGATCTCCCCATCAGTGGAGTGCCTATCGTGGCAGCACATCTGACCCAGGGCTGGGGAGGTGTTTACAGGTTACCACGCCTCTCAGCATGTGTCCTAATGATGATGTTGGAGCTTTCTGTGCTTCCCCAAACCTACAGTTGAGGAAACTGAGGCCCATCCAGTGTGCTGGCTCTTACCCTTGGGCCTGTACTGCTGCTGTCCTTTCTGCAGCTCACCCCTTCTGATCTGATACAGGCCTGTCCCAAGCCCGACGGGGAGGCTGTGAAAGTCCCATGCTGAGCTGGCAGTGGCTTGAGAGTGCTGAAGCGTTCCTTGTGGGGGCAGCTCCCGTGCCCTCCCCTGACCAGTGCTGTGCTTTACGTGCCAGGCACTGGCTGTGTGGGGCCCCTTTCAGGCCTCACAGTGTTCTCAGAAGACCTGTGTAGTGCCCACCCTAGAGAGGCAGAACCAGAGACTTAAACTGAAATTTAAACCTGGGGCTTCTGCCAGTGGACACATTCTGTCTGGCCTGTGTCCTTCTGACATAGCCACCAATGGACTCTGGAGAGTGGCTGGGGGTCAACGGGGAGCCCGCTCAATAGTACTCACCCTCTGAGCCAACCTGTGTGCTCGTCTGTTTTTAGAGACATCCTGCCCATTGGAGACGTGCCTGTCACCACCCCAGTCCCCTTGAGACCCCCACCCCAGGGAAGCCCTCCCATCAGTGAGATGTGTGTTAGGCCAAGATGTGTTGGGCATTTTTTCTGTGTTGTATATTAGCGTATGTTATTTTGGGGGAAACCTAAGCACTTTTGTGCAGCTTGCTGTGTTCACCTGACAGTATTGCTCGGGCCTGTCTCCTATGTGCATGTCCCTCTTTACCCTGTGCTTGATAGAGGCTGTGTGTGTGGCTCTAACTCTGTGAGTTGGGAGACGTTCTCCACCTCAACCTGCACTTCTGGAGCCTTCCTGGCTAACAGGGGTTATATTTTATGCCTCTGTCCTGAGTCTGAGATTTCCCCAGAGCCAGGGCCACCCCTGCCGTGCCTCCCCTGACCTCCTGATCTGGGCTCCACAGATCCGCTGGAAGTACATGATCGTGGATGAAGGCCACCGCATGAAGAACCACCACTGCAAGCTGGCACAGGCCCTCAACACGAACTACGTGGCCCCGCCGCCTGCTACTGACAGGCATGCTGCTGCAGAACAAGCTGCCCAAGCTCTGGGGGCTGCTCAACTTCCTGCTGCCCACCATCTTCAAAAGCTGCAGCACCTTCGAGCAGTGGTTCAATGCACCCTTTGCCATGACCGGAGAGAAGGTGGGTATGCCTGGCCGCAGAGGAACGGTGCTGGCCTGATGTTCTGGGCCCCGCTGACGTCCCATGGTTGGTGAGCACTAAGTGCCCCCTATAACAGTGTCATGTGCCAGGCTCAGCTGGCTTGTGTGTCTTCGTGGAACAAGGCAGCCTGGCACCAAGGCTGGAGGAACCTCCAGGGACCCAGAGGAGAAGCTCAGAGATTATCCAGCGGTGCTCAGGGCTTCCCCAACCCTGCACTCCAGGCCCAGAGTGGGGACAGTGAGGAATATGGCCCTGAGGTTAGCCAGAGGACCAGACAGGGTGTGAAGAGTGCAATGGAAGGCCAGTGTCCCGTAGGTCCCTTTACAGAGTTTGTGTTTCATTCTAAGGGCAGCAGAAAGCTCAGAAGCTTTCAGTTAAGAGAGTTGCCTGGTCATATTCTGTTTTATGTGTTTTCAAAGAGCACTGTGGCCTGTGTCTCAGTGTCTGGATGCCCATGAGTGGCACTGTCTGAAAGCCAGACTGTGGCATATAGGCTGTCAGGGACCAGCTCTTCATGACTGATGAGTGTCCCTAAGCCGGCTCTGAGCACAGAGCCTAAAACCTTCTCATGCTATCAGGGTTTGAGACATGTTGTGGAAGGGGCTGCGTTTTCTGTTGAAGGGGGTTAAGCAGCCAGAGCGTGAAGATGGAACTCTCCTGAAGGGCAGATCTGTGGAAGTTAATAAGTGCCAGGACCTGCCCCTTCTTCCCGCCTGAGAGGTTTTCCTTAGGTTCATGACAACAGGGGCCACCACACCACTTGTATGGAGGGGCCTCCGCCAGCCTCATCAGCAAGTCCTGGCCCTGCCTGGCGTCAATCAAGGCAGAGGCCCTTCTGAAGGAGAAGCCAGGCTGTCCCCAGAGTCTCATAATAAAGGAGCCCTCACCCATTTTCAGATTTCAGGACCCCTGTCCCAAGAGCCAGGAGCGGATGCAACAGTGTCTTTTTGTGCAGAGCAAAAGTTCTGTCACAAGTTTAGCAGGGAAACAACAGAGGAGTTCAGTTGTAGTCTTATTTTTCTGTAACTTAAAGTCTTTTAAATGTAATTTCTTAGGAGAGTAGCAGATGTCCTGGGACAGCAACCTTTCTTTCCCTCAGTCCCACCCAGGATGAAATGAGAGAGGACTTGGGGATCCCTAGTCAGTCCCACCCAGGATGAAATGAGAGAGGACTTGGGGATCCCTAGTGACAGAGCCCTCCATGGGAATCTGGTTTATTTTATTTTTTGGCGGCTGTTGGTAAGGGGATCTGAACCCTTGACCTTGGTATTATAACACCAGCTCTAACCAGCTGAGCTACCCAGCTAGCCAAGAATCATTCACTTTAAAACCAAACGTTTCAAAAATGTGGCTCCTTTGTGCTCTCTGGCTTTACTTTGGACGTGGTGGTGGGTTATAAACACATAAGTCTATATTACTGTTGGGGATGCAACATGTGCTGCCATGTTTCTTTATGGTAAGGCATACTGAGCATGGTGCCCTGGGGCCTTCGGTTCCCTGTCCCAGAATTCCATGGACGGAACCAGATCCCTGCAGTTTTCCAAAGGAAAGGGGTGATCCTGTTTCCCTTCTGCCTTCATCCTTCCTTCCTGGTGGGACACCTGCCCTACAGAGGTAACGTTGATTTTCATGTCTGGTGGGGGCTCCAGGTGGACCTGAACGAGGAGGAGACCATCCTGATCATCCGTCGTCTCCACAAAGTGCTGCGGCCCTTCCTGCTTCGGCGGCTCAAGAAGGAAGTTGAGGCCCAGCTGCCCGAAAAGGTATCGGGGCTTTGTGCAGAAGCAGTGTGATGGAGCATCATGGCGTTTCCTCAGGGTGGGCACAGTCAGAGGATGCTTCCCTTGGTCCAGGTCATGGCCGTGGTGGAGCCAGAATGGGGATGGCAGCTAACACCCACTGCGGCCATAAAGCCAAGGGCAGGTCTGTTAGGTTAGAGCACTGAATCCTGCTTCCTGTCAGTGGGTCCAAAGCCTGGGCATATTTCCCAACTATATCAGGAGGAGCTGTGGGTATGGGGGTCCTTGGCCACAGTTGCCCCTCCAGTCATGCTTGCCCTTTGTTTCCAGGCCTAGTGTGGCGAGGTCTCCAGAGGTGGCCGATTGTCCGTATCTCTGCCTTGGTGTATCTGCCATGGCCCACGTGGTCCATCACCCCCAAGTGCCCTGACGAGAGCACACATTGTGGGGTCCAGGATGCATGCAACAGGGCTCGGGGATGAGAGAAGGATCTAGGTGGGGATGAGGCATCAGGGCCACCGTGTGCCCCACCTTGAACACGCTTTATCCCTGCAGGTGGAGTACGTCATCAAGTGTGACATGTCTGCACTTCAGCGCGTGCTCTACCGGCACATGCAGGCCAAGGGAGTGCTGCTGACTGACGGCTCCGAGAAGGACAAGAAGGTTGGCCTGGAGTCCCCCCACTCCCCACCTGGGTGGGGTGGGTCCAGGGTGCCTGGTATGCGGTGCCTGAGCATACCCTAGCCAGTGAGGCCTCTCGCCCCCTTGGTAGTTATTCTGGTTGAGGTCCAACCTGGCCATGACCCCAAGGGCATTTGATTAACCACAGTCGTAAGGGTGGCCAGTCTGATTCAGGGCACACTTACTCAGCTACCGTCCAGCATCGTCTGCCTCTGAAACTCTGGCCTCCTTTTCATTCGGTAGCGTGGGGCCCATTGCTAACCCATACACAGTTAGAATGTTCTAGTGAACCCCACATTGCCAGCTAGGGAGGAGCTGCCTCAACAGCTGTGGCCACTGAATTTGTTCCCCTTGTTATTAAGTTCATTTCTAGGGCATGGGTGGTTACAGTAGGTAGAGGAGTGGGAATCTCCTTCTGGCCCCACTTGGAGGGTCCCAGGCTCCCCTCCCCAGGACTGACATTGTCCTCCTGGGGAATACACTAACGTCTTCCACTCAACCCCTAATACCTCGACCTTGGCCCTGCCTCCCCTTTCCCTCGCCTTGATGTTTTGTTTGGGCCTTTCTGACCTGAGCTATTGCAGCAGCGTGTTTCCTGGTTTACTTCCAGCCTAAAGTCCCCACCCCCACCTCCTTCTTTCCCCTGCAGCCAGAGCCTTGTGGCTCATCTGCCTGAAACCCTGGACTCCCCATAAGGCCCAGGATGAAGCTGGCATTGCAAAGCCTCTATTATTTGGCTCCAGCTCTTTGCCAGTCTCATTTCTGTTCTGTCCTGCTGTTCCACCGCCCACCCTCCAGTGTGCCGGGCGGTCTCTGCATCACCAGGGCGTGACTGGGGCCTCTGGGCTTCCACGTCTTCTTGTCCTGAATGTTCTGCCACAAGCCACACCTCCCCCCAAAGTGTCCCCAGGGTGCTGCTTCCATCTTCTTCCCCATATGCCATCCCCACCCCAAGGGTAAGACCCCATTTGGGAACTTCTTGTCTCCCTCCTCAGGGCAAAGGTGGCACCAAGACCCTGATGAACACCATCATGCAGCTGAGGAAGATCTGCAACCACCCGTACATGTTCCAGCACATTGAGGTGAGGCTTCGCACGCCCTGTAGCACCTGGAGCTTGAGCCCCCACCCGTGGCCTGGGAGGGCTCAGGCCGTCTGTTTCAGCGGCTTCTCCCCAACAGCCTTTTAAAGAGCAGTTTATGGGCACTGTCCCTACATCTGTCTCTCTACTGATGTTCCTTTTTGCAAATGCTAATCTTGAGAAATCCAAACAATGCTGTAGTAGAAACGAACCCCACCCTCAGAGGTAGTTACGTAAGTGCATAGTCTCTCTTCTCTGGGGGCGTGTCCCCACCCCAGGGAGGTTGTGCTACACCTGCTCCCGGCACACTGGTTCTTCCTATGTGCGATTATCAAGCAGCCTCCTCCTTCAATGAAACATGCAGGTCAGAGCCTTTTGGGTCACAGAACCCTTTGAGAATGTGGATTTTTGATACTGAAGAGTGCACACATGTCTGTATTTCCTGATGTAAAGTTTCAGGGTTGTTGCAGACCCCTGATGCCCACACGGGACCCCTTGGGTTCTGTTTTAGCGCACACTGAGGCTGGCGTGGACGCACAATGTCCTTATGTGCTCCTGTTGGTGCCTAAGAGTGTTACACAGTGACTTCCCTTCCTTTGCTGGAGGAGCATGGGGGAGGGGACATTGGCCTCTGTGTCTGACTTCAGGGCTACTGTGACGTGAGGCTTTGTCCTTGGAGCAGCAGAGGCTTAGGCCACCTGATTGTCCTTGTCCCAGCACTGATCCGTCTCTTGTTCCATTGCAGGAGTCCTTTTCTGAGCACTTGGGGTTTACCGGCGGCATCGTCCAAGGGTGAGAAGCTTCCCAACTGGGTGGGGTGGGCAGGCGGTCCGTGCAGAGGTGTTTTCTCTCTTGTTTAGTCAGCTTTATTGCTGTTTTTAAATCTGTCTGATTTCAAAGGCAGAAAATTTAGAAAATATCGAAGAACCACAGAAGAGACTAAAAATCCTCTGCACTCTGAGAGTTGACCTCCATTCACCGAGAGGCAGGATTCCTGAGGCAGCCCTGCTCTACCACCTCTAAGCTCTGTGCCCCGTGACAGCTTTCTCAACCTCTCTGAGCCTCAGCTCTGTCCGCTAATATAAAGATCCCTTTTATACCCTGTGGATGTGTTTTCTACAGCATCCTGTCAAGTGCATCCCAGACTTCTTTAAAACCCCAATGTTGGATGTGGACTCATCTCTACATTTCCAGCATTGCAAAGAGCCTTACTAAAAACACTTACAGCTAAAGCCATCATTTCCCTGGGGTACTAAACCACTCCCGAGAGCAGAGGCACGTAATGGGAGTGGAAAATGTTCTTTTGCTGTATATGTTTATACCAAATCACGTAAGGGGTCCCACAGACCTGGGTTCAAGTCGTGGCTCAGGCACATTACCAACTGTATTGCACTGTCCCCTCCCTCCTCTCAGTCTGTATATGTTTATACCAAATCACGTAAGGGGTCCCACAGACCTGTGTTCAAGTCGTGGCTCAGGCACATTACCAACTGTATTGCACTGTCCCCTCCCTCCTCTCAGTTTCCACACCTATAAGCTGGGGATATTGGCTGGAGTGAACGGGAGGAGCCTTATTGGCCCTTAGACCTGAGGCAGCAGGGTATGGCACTCTCCAATGTGAGCGTTTGCTCGGGGGGGTTCTTTAACGACAAGGGGATCACGGCCAGCTTCCTGGGAGC